AATATTCTAACAAACGTTTTATTAATTATTCAATAGTTTATGTAGGAGTAATCGAAGTAAGTTTTAAGGACAAGATCTATGAACAAAATATTCTAACGAACGTTTTATTAATTATTCAATAGTTGTATAGGAGTGATCGAATTAAGCGTTGAGGACAAGATCTATGGACAAAATATACTAACGAACGTTTTACCAATTATTCAATAGTTGTATAGAAGTGATCGAAGTAAACATTAAGGACAAGATCTATGAACAAAATATTCTAACGAACGTTTTATCAATTATTCAATAGTTTGTGTAGGAGTGATCGAATTAAGCGTTAAGGACAAGATCTTTGAACAAAATTTACTAACGAGCGTTTTATCAATTATTCAATAGTTGTATAGGGGTGATCGAATTAAGCGTAAGGACAAGGTCTATGAACAAAATATTCTAACGAACGTTTTATCAATTATTCAATAGTTGTATATGAGTGATCGAATTAAGTGTTAAAAACAAGATCTATGAAGCTAGCAAAACAAGTTTTACAAAAATGAACATTATTCAATAGTTTGCGTAGTAGTGAAGTAAATGTTAAAGACAAGATCTATGAAGCTTGCAAAGTATACTAACGAGCGTTTTATCAATCATCCAATATTCTAATCATTATATATGTACTATATATACTGTAGGTAAAGAAAAATTTTAATATCTATTTATTTATTATATTTACTTTTAAAATAAATGGTTTTACTATAAAGGACACACCTAAGTGATCAAAATCTGCAAATATTCACAATAATGTAATATTTGGACATTTATACTTGCAATTGGACGCGTCAAACAAAATTTTACACATATGAATATAAAGGCAAAATTTGACTTTGAAGGTCAGATTATTTTCGATTTTATTAACAACCTGCTTTAAAAATTTTCTTAAAGCAGATACATATGATAAAGAAGTTATATCTCAAATTTGGCGATGGTTGCTGCACAGCAAGGGTATTAAATGGGGGATTAGAAGTCATTTGATTGTAAAATTTTACTATCAAAAATTTATTGTTTTACAACTCCTATGACATGTCCCGTGACTGATATCAAGTGGACAACATTTCCGAAGCGGCACGCGACTTGTGAGTTGGCGACTTCTATGACTGGGGACCCATTATTATCTTGTTATAATGTGGTTTCCTAATGAACAGTTGGCGACGGCACCTGTTACTAAGTTGGGTATGTCGTATAGTGTGATCCGAGTATATGATCGATACTAGTACATCAATGTCTATTTTAAACTCATTCATAAATGATAAATTGTCAGCGAGGCAAAAATCTTGTTTCTTGCAACAAAGGATCTGCCATGCAGCCCAAATTGGTTCGATGGTCAATTTTGATGGTAGAAAGCAGAAATCAATTACGACACTCACTATTAAAAACATAAGTGTAACTCCCTTTATGACAGTGTCAAAATACTTTGGGCTGCATGTATAACCCAAAGGTGAATAAGAATTCATTATTAATTACTTGGAATTACTATCAATTACTAATGATATTCTTTAATTAATTAATAAATTTTAGATTATGGTAATAATCGTAAAAGAAAAAGAATTGATGAATGACTAATGTTGTCTTTTTATTTTATTTTTATTTCATTCCTTAAAGCTAAATTATAATAATAATAAACCTTTTAAATGATAGCCTTTTGGTTAATACTGAATACTTGAGTTAATTGCAAGCAGCTCACAATAATTCGATGTTTGTCAATCAATTAGTTTACGAATTTACATTGGTTTTCGCTTGCTGCCTTTTTCTTATATCTAGACAAATCTGTGAGCATACCTAATGGCACCAGATAATTAAAGATGGCTCCTTTACAAAACATCTTCATAAAATAATTCTTTCGCCCAATAAAACACTTTTGTGGTCTGAAATTAAACGGCGGGTTCGATCGTCCATTTGTTATCAGAGTAATATAGAACTCTGAGGTTTGCTATTAGTGTTGATTAATCAGTCTAGTGTTAACAACGGGTAGCAAGGTTTTATTTGCTTACTAAGAAGCAAAATTTTAATTTTTGTAAAGTGTGAACGTTTTTGTTTACATGTAAAAGAGTTTGTGTTCCTGTGTAAGCCGTTATTCGTATTGTTGTAAAACGTACGGCTGTTAAATAAGTAGTTTAAAGAGCCTTGTAAAGAGGTCAGACCAACAAGGCATTTTAACGACCAAAGAAAAGTAAACGTAAATAAAGAAGAAACCTTAAAAGGGCCATATTTATTATTGTAATCGTACCATAAAATGTATTTACAGATTTGCCGAGGATTTCTAGGTACAAGAAAGGGGCAGTAAGCAGGATAAATTCGTAAATAAATTAATTGACGAGCGAGTGTAGCTCAAAAGTTAATTCGAACTCGGCATTAACCAAAAAGCGATCTCGCAATATTATGATTTCAGCAGTAGAAAGTTCTTTTTGATGTGTCTACTTGTGCTTATATTTCCACCATCCACAATACTATTATTGATAAGCAGCCACAGCCACTTTTTCACACTCATCAGAATTATTACTTTTTATTCGCCTTGTAGGTTTTACAACAAATCTATAATAGTAATAGTTTGTTTAGTTAGATATCCATCCATCCATCAATTCAAAGTGTAAGACTTGTATTTCATTGGATGAAAAATAATTATTCACTCCCCACGTGCAAAATGTTTAATATGCACGTGAGTGATGGATAAGGCAGAAAAAATACCTCCCTCATTTTTCACGCTTTAAAAAAAAAAGACATAAAAATATAAAATGTCTACTCTTGAAGATAAGCAACTTTGGGAAAAAGCAGACGAAGAAGGTTTAGAAGAACTTGGCCAAGAAATTTTAAGATCTAACCCTGAGGATATTAACAATCGTACACGTTTACTTGACAATGAAATGAAGGTTATTACATGTTATTATCATTATTTATTATCATGATCGTTATCAACATTTTAATTAATTGATTGGTGATTTATTGATTAATTGATTGATTAATTGATTAATTGATTGATTTATTGGTTGATTTATTGATTGATAATTTTAATCTTGAAATGTTTACTTAAACGCATTTTTATCATCATTTAATTAATTAGATGTTAAAATCAGAGCATATGCGTCTAACACATGAACAAGGCAGTATGAGAGAGAAAATAAAGGATAATAAAGAAAAAATAAAAGTTAATAAACAATTACCGTGGCTTGTTGGTAATATTGTTGAGGTTGGTTTTTATATTGATTTTGACTGTTCATTCAGATCTGTTGGAAATATTTTAATTTCTAGTAATTAATTTTTAGTGTGTATATTATAATCAAAGATATTATTAATAAACCATTGTTACTAATGATTAGTTGCTTGATATGGATCCAAATGATGAACCAGAAGAAGATGGTGCAAATATAGATCTTGATGCACACCGTAAAGGAAAGTGTGCCGTGATCAAGACATCTACACGACAAGTAAAATTTAAACTGTTTTTTTTTAGATTAATTTTCATTGTTTTTTTATAAACCATTAAAAATAGTTTTTATTTTAGACTATTTTCTTGCCTTTAATTGGCCTTGTTGATCCCGCAACCATCAAACCAGGTGACTTAATTGGTGTAAATAAAGATAGTTATCTAGTATTAGACACATTACCAGCGGAGTAAATTGATTTATTTTATTTATTTTTGTAAAAAAAAAAATAATGATAATAAATTATTATTCGTTTGTAGATATGATTCTCGTGTTAAAGCTATGGAAGTTGATGAGAAACCAGCGGAAGATTATAATGATATCGGTGGTCTTGATAAACAAATTGAAGAATTGGTAGAAGCTATAGTGTTACCGATGACGCATGCAGAAAGATTTAAAAATTTGGGTATAAAACCACCAAAAGGTAATCTTTATTAGAGAAGAATGTTGATGATAATATTTAAATCATAGATTAATGTTCTTCAAATTGATTAAATTAGGTGTTCTTATGTATGGTCCTCCTGGTACTGGCAAAACATTGCTGGCAAGAGCTTGTGCTGCACAAACCAACTCTGCATATTTAAAATTAGCTGGTCCACAACTAGTACAGGTAAATAAATAAAAATCATAACCATGCTCAATATTTTATTTATATTTTATTGCTGCTATTATTAATACTGTCATTATTGTTATTAGATGTTTATTGGTGATGGTGCTAAACTTGTACGTGATGCTTTTAATTTGGCTAAAGAAAAGGCACCTGCTATTATTTTTATTGATGAATTGGATGCTATAGGGACAAAAAGATTTGATAGTGAGAAAAGTGGTGATCGTGAAGTGCAAAGAACTATGTTGGAATTGTTAAATCAACTTGATGGTTTTAGCAGTGATGAAAGAATTAAGGTTTCATATTTATTAATTATTTTTTTGCCAAGAAAAAGTATCATATATATAAATATATTAAATATCTATTTATTTATTTAATTGTTAGGTAATCGCTGCTACAAATCGTATTGATATTTTGGATCCAGCACTTTTACGATCTGGTCGTCTTGATCGTAAAATCGAATTCCCCTTACCAAATGAAGAAGCTCGTGCTCGAATTCTTCAAATTCATTCACGTAAAATGACTGTTGGTAGTGATGTAAATTATGATGAATTGTCACGTTGTTGTGATGAATTTAATGGTGCTCAGTGTAAGGCTGTGTGTGTTGAGGCTGGTATGTTGGCTTTAAGAAGAGGTGCTACTGAATTGAGTCATGAAGATTTCATGGATGGTAATTGATTATCTTTTTATTAATATATATATATATATATATATTGGTTTTTAATTATTATATGATTGATCTTTATTATTTTGACTATATAGGTATTCAAGAAGTTATGGCTAAAAAGAAAACCTCTTTACAATATTATGCATAAATACTGCGGCTACTATTACCATTACAACTATTATTGTTGTCGTTGTTTATTTACTATTTATTTTTATTATTATTACATTACTATTTCAAAAAAAAAAAACTAAAAAAAATAATAAAAATATTATTAAATATCAATTTTCTGTTTTTACATCTTGAAAAAAGTTCCATAAAATAATCCCAAAGCATTAATATAATAATAATAATAATGCGTTCTTAGATTTTTGTAAATATTATTTTAAATACTATTATTAGTATATATCTTTGTTTTTAATATTCCTCACTTGTAACATCACTGTCATTATTATTCATGATGAATGATATTTATCAAGATATAATGGTAAAAAATAATTCTTTGAAAAGTTTCTGATTCATCATCTTTAACAAGAAAAAAATGTTAATTGTTATTATTATACCATATATATATATATAGTCAAAAAGACAAAATATTTTTATTTATTTCATATTATTTGTTGTTAATATTATTATGAACTTGCATAAATTTTTTATTATTTAGTTGACACTGTTTTTTGACATGACTATATGACCCACACAAAAAACATCTGCTCACATTCAATACAATATTAATTTTTTTTGTTTTCAATGCAATTTCCCATTCATCTTGTTTTAATCTATAAAGTAACATGCAGGTTTTTGCATCTTCAGCCTATTAAAAAAGTTCAATGTATTATTAATTTCTATTAAACCAACAAAAGAAAATTAATCAAATAAATTGATGAAATAAATTTATTATAAACTAACGGAATCATGGGTCTTTTCTTGTATTTCTAATCCTAAGACTTCCCTGGCCAATTTTTTCAACGAAGGTGTCGTTGACTGACGTGTAACATCATATATTATATGATAATAGTATGAAGTATCACGTACCATTGAGATGGGATGATACAATTTTAGAACCTAATAATAACAATATATTTTCTTTAAAGAAATCTAATAATATATATATACTAATAAAGTAGCTGTAAAAATTTGTGTTTTATTGTTACATTAAAATCAAATCCTAGAGATTGTCCAATTACTAGATTTCCTTCCATTAAGTCTTTTACTTCTTTATGAATATCTTTAAAGTCACAAGCTATTTTTTTAAAAAAAAGGAAAGCAGGGAAGGAGAGAAAAAATAAATCATAATAATTAATTACGTGTATATATATGTGTGTGTATATATACATATCACAATAAATAAATCTACCATTTACTAAATCTCCAGGATTTATTCCACTAAATTGAGTTCTATAATCTGTAACTTTTTGCTTTGGTTTAACATACTTATCCATTAATGTTACTCCATAATAATTCACTATACTAACTCTAGCAAGTTCTGAAATTATACCGTTATACCCAACACCGACCATCTCACAATCAATTGCTATACACTTGTCATTTATTAAATGTTTGTTAGGTCTACGTAAATATTGTGTGTGATAAATGTATATATAATGAACATATATTGGAATTTGAATTTCTTTAATTAATAAATCACCCATAAAATTACATTTAAAAAAAAAATTTCAACTTACGAATCGATTAAGTGTCGATTAAGATGCATAAACCAATCATCTGTACTGTTAATATCAGATTGTAGATAATAATGTGTTGGATTAAGTGGCTTTTGTTCCTAATAATATTACAATAATAAATAAATAAAAACCAAAATTATGTTTTTTTTTTTTTTTTTTAGGTAAAAATGAAGAACTTCAATAAGTACCAAGGGTGGTGGCGAGGGCGGTGGTAATGGTAATATAGGAGGCATTGGTAATTTATTATTATTTTTATTATATATTGGAGGATTAATAGAAGGTGAAAAAGGCGGTGGAGGGAAATAAATTGATTCAGTATACGATGGTGTCATATTTACTTTACTTATAGTATGTTTTATTTGATTTTACAATTTTTTATTTTTTGATTAAAATTTTTTTATTATTTTTTCTTTGCTAAATTTGGGCTACTAACTAACAAGTTCTTCAAAAAAAAAAGGCCAAAGATTGATCTCGTGTTAATATTGAAATATAAATAAACATATCATCAACTCACGTGATATAAATAAAAATTTTCTGGATCTACTTTTTTTTTCATTTGAAAAAAAATGAGCAAAAAAACTTTGAATAAATCAAAGAAACCCGTTAGATCAAATCCAAAATTGGTAATTACACATTTTGAATATTATTATCGATTATTAATTAATCAATTAAATCAATTAATCAATTAATCAATTAATTAAATTCCACATTGAAAATTTGTTGTCTTTAGTATGTTGACGTAGAAAAAAGATGGTATGCTATAAAACTTTCAAACTTAGAAGACTCTCATCAATCTTTCACAAACAATAATAACAATAGCACAGACAAACACACAGAAGCAAAGAAATTACTGACAGAAGAGAATGAAAGATATGAAACAAATTTTAGACAAAAATTATCATCAGATGATCGTAATTTTTATACAACAATGTTAAAATCTGGTACATTAAATGATAAATTATCAACATTATCTATTCTGGTCGATGAGTCTCCGCTTCATTCTGTAAAATATTTTGAGACATTACTTGCAATGGCAGAAAAAAAAAGTAGAAATGAAGCAGTTCAATCAATATTCACTATAATGAGTTTAATGATTGAATCAGTTTTACCTGATAGAAAACTTAAGCGAGTTATTAAATTTCTTTTTTGATTAATTTTTTAAATATAAACATCAATAAATGTTTATATTGATATATATATTTTTTTTTTACATAGATATTTCAGTGATCAACCATTTAATGGGATAAATGTGACACCTCAACATTTAATAATTTGGGCATTTGAAGATTTTTTGAAAAATTTTTATTTTAATTTTATTAAAATAGTTGAAGTATGATTAATTCATTATAATTTGTTCAGATAAGGATCATGAACAATGAAAATGATTAATTAATTATAAAAATTAATAATTAATTAAATTTTTATTCATTTATGTAGTCGTTGGCACATGATGTGTTGGATCATGTAAGACAGCAAATGGTTAAAATAATTTTTACATTGTATAGAGATAAAACAGAACAAGAACAAAATTTATTAAGACTATTAGTATTTAAATTGGTAAATAGAAATACCAATATAACCCAATTATATATCTTTCTTTCCTTAATTTAAAATTATTATATCAATCTAATTATTATATATAGGGGGATTCAGACCGTAAAGTGGCATCTAAAGCTTCATTTATGATAAATCAACTTTATGAATCACATCCAAAAAAGAAATTAGATGTAATAAAAGAAATAGAACAATTAATATTATCACCTGGAGCAAATCATCACACACAATATTATGGAATAATATCATTAAATCAAACCATCCTTAAAAACCATGAAAAGGATGTTGCAAATAAATTGATTGAAATTTATTTTGTAATGTTTAGAAAATTGTTAAATGAAAAAAATCAAAATCAAACAACTGGAAAAAAAAAATCATTTCAAAAAGATGATAATAAAAATAATAATTATAAATCACAAGGGCACAAAAATGGCAATAATAAAAATAATCAAAAGAATTTTAATAATAATAATAATAATATGAGAAGGAGGAAAAATATTAATTATAAAGTTGTTGATGATGAAAATGGAAATATTGATGAGGATCTTATAGATTCAAAAATGGTGTCAGCAATATTAACAGGAATTAACAGGGCATTCAAATTCGCTAAAGTAGATGATAACATGTATGTAGTTAAATATTTAATTATTATAATTATAATTATTATTTTAATTATTTTTATTATTATTATTTGTTGTATTAATATTAATTTTATGTGCAATGTTTATTTTATTAGGTATAAAGAAAATATTGATATATTATTTAAATTTACTCATATTGGAAATTTCAATATAAGTATACAGGCATTAATGTTAATATATCAAGTATCATTAACAAAAGAAGTAAATAAATCATTTTATTTATTCTCTAATTTTTTTTTTTAAAGAAAACCAAAATAAATATTATTTACTTATTCTTCATATTCTTTGTCCAGGAATTTTCTGATAGATTTTATCGAACACTTTATGATTCATTACTTGATCCACGTCTAATACATTCCTCCAAACAAGCATTGTACTTGAACCTTTTCTTTAAAGCTTTGAAAAATGATAATCTGATTAGTAGAATACAAGCTTTTCTCAAAAGACTAGTACAAATATGCAATCATCAACAACCACATTTTATTTGTGGTGCTTTTTATATGATGTCTGAGGTAATCTATAGAAATTTAAATTGAATTGCTTGTTTATTCATGATCATTATATTTCATCAGAATTTTATAAATTAATTGCTGTTGTTATTGATGATTGATAATTTATAAAGTTATTGAATATAAAACCAAGTCTTAGATCTTTGATTGATCAACCTGAGGAAAATGACGAAGAACATTTTGTAGACATTCCATCAGATGAAGATGAAAATGAAAAACGGCAACAATTAAATTTAAAAAAAAACAAGAAAAGAAAATTTGCAACACCTCAACCAATCAAATCGTCGGCTCAACCGATTAAATCTAGTGCTAATGACAGGATATATGATGGTCGTAAAAGAGATCCAAAATATTGCAATGCAGATCAAACTTGTATCTGGGAATTGGTGATTATCGTGTTTTAAATTTAATTAATGAACTATGGAGGTGGTAATTCTATTTATAAATTAATGTATTGTTTATTTAAAAAAATCGCCATTAGTGTTCATTTCTTGATCATTTCCATCCAACTGTTTCGCTATATGCAAAAAATATAATCACCAACATAAAAATTAACTCACAACCAGAAATTCATTTACACACACTGACTCATTTCTTGGATAGATTTGTTTATCGTAATCCTAAAAAAAATGATAGCGTCAAAGGTGGTGGAAGCGTTCTACTACAACCTAGCGTCAAAGCTATTTCAGAACAAGGTATGGTTGTTATGAAAAAAGGTGCAGGAATCGGTAAGGATGAATTGAATGTTAATTCGGAAGAATTTTGGAGGAAAAAACTGGATGATGTGCCTGCTGATCAAGTATGTAATTGAGAAAAAAATTTATGTAATTTGATTATTTAATTAGCCTTGATTATTTAATAATTAATTTTTCTTATTATTATTAATTTACAAAGAGATTTTTCCATAAATATTTTACACAAAAACATGAGAACTCAAAACCTACAAAGAAAAAGAAAAAATCAACAAATGAGGATGGTGATGATGATGAAGCAGATACAATGATACTTGCCGATGAAAATGTTGGATCAGACGAAGAAGAAGAAATCGAGAAAGAAATTTGGAAGGCAATGAAACAAGGTCTACCAGAATTAGATTCTGATCTTGATAATGATGATGACGACGACGACGACGACGACGATGATGATGACGGCAACGATGACGACGAAGATATTGAATTAGAAGATGCTATGAGTATTTCGTCTAATGATGATGATGATGTGAATGATATAAGCGACGTGAGTGATATGAGTGATGGCGACGATGTGGAAATGATTGAGAAAAATGCTAGCAGTGATGATAGTGATGATAGTGATGATTGATTGATTGATTGATTGATGAGAAATTGCAATGAATCCTATTTAATATAAATTAAAATTATTCTGTTATAAAGTCGAGGGAAATAGTAAAACTAATTGATTAATGTACAAAAAATTTAGAACAAAAACGAGAAAAAACTCGTAATACAATTACAACTGAAAATTCATAAATCAAATAATTTAAATAATTATTATATCTATATCATATATATAAACACCTAACAAAATATTCTTTATGTTATGAATTTACAGTGACAATAGTGGTGCTGTTAATGTTGACCAACTCAAGATGCTATTTTGAAAAGTAAAATTTATTTGTGCACGTGCACACTAATATATACATTGCTTGGCCTTTTTTTGTCTTGCAATTTTAGATCAAAACTCTATTTGATATTGGAGTGGTGTTCTCCAGCAAAATCGAGAAATTTAACTTGTTTTTTTTTTGCCGTCATCATTGCTGTTGCTGCTGTTATTATTAGTACCAGTGATGCATAAGCGGTAAAAAAATAAGCTACAATATGCATAATAATACGTGGATTATACATTATTGACAATTATAGGGAATTTGCGCAAGTATATATCTTATTTGATGAGAAACATAAAATACCACTATTTTTTAGGGAAAATCGAGTCAATAAAATAATTGCAATATAATTTAAAATAAGTGCTCCATTTTTATCATCAAATACAATATTTTTTATATTGAAAGTAATATGGTACCATTTTTGGTGGGTAAGAAATCTAACCATTACAAGGAGGCTATTTTTCTTTCGATGATCCCATCTTTTCTAGATATGACTTTGCTGATCTTTTTATCCAAAATTATTTCAGAAATGTGATTAATAAAATCTGGAATCCTGAGGTTGAATTTTTGGATAAAGATATTTACAATTCATCATTTAAAATACTAACTGGTTTGCCCAATTAATTGAATGGACGTTTCTGCAGGATGAAGATCCTGTGCGATTTATTTCTTTTGTTACTAGTCTACTTGAGATTTCCTAGAGAAAAAATCAAATATCACTATCATTTGAATATAAATGATTTTGTTGTAATTTAAAGACTTCAATGTTACTAATAATTTTTACCTGTAAAGAAGTTGCTATTTTGGCTGTTCCTTTAGGTTCCAAAGTATCACTTTTGTTGCTAATTCTAATTAATTTTGAAGTTAAAGAAATCTTTCCAGTCATCATCATCAGATTGAATATTTTCATAGATTAACTCTAATTGTGTCAAATAAATCAAATGTACATTATCACTATAGTTTGCGTATCACGTTACGCGTTAGTATTAGTACTAATCGAAATTTGATGTTGGGGTGTTTTGCATACTAATACGGAAAGTTATTCAATTATTATTTTGTACTAGTAGTTGGACAACGAATTTCATACACGCAACCAAAAATAATTATATGGGAATAATGAAATTTTCCATTTGCTTCCTTTGATAAATATCCTTACTATAAAAGCTCGAAAAATTCTCTTGACCCAGGCGAGCAATCAATCAAGTTAACTGAGCTCGTTTTTACTTTTCGAACAGAGTAATTGTTTTGCAAGTTTAAATTAATCAAATCAACCTTGAAAGCAGCGATTTATTTTCATTAACTGTCAGTTTTGAGATTCTGTTCTATAATATTAAAATATATAAATATTATGCCCAAATTTAAACCAACAGAAAAAGACAAAGAAATAATAAACAAAGCTAATATTCGTGGCAAAATTAAGGATGTTATTTATTTTTTCCGTGACAAAAAATACGTAATAGTTATTAATAAAGTTACTCGCTTATATGCAATTAGATTAATTAACTATGAAGATGATGGTGGAGACGGAGTGGAAATATTAGCAGTTAAGAGATTTCCTGACTTGATAGGATTTTATCTAACAAAGGAAGAAGTTGAGAATAAAGTCGAAAGTATTAAAGCTAATGAGGATGGAGAAATATATCAATGCAAATATAAATTTGAAACCCATGAGGATGATATGAAAAATAATGTATTAATAATTGGAAGAACAGGAAGCGGCAAATCTGCCTTGGCTAATGTAATCAGCAAATCTGATGTATTTGGAGAAAGCGAGGGTTCAGTTAGCCAAACTAAAGACTTCCAAATTAAAGATTTTGAATTGGAAGGGACAAAATATCGAGTGATTGATACTGTTGGAGTCGGTGATACTAATTTATCAGATGATAAGGTCATGTTAAAGTTGGCTAAGGCTATTTACTCAATGAAAAGAGGGATAAAACAAATATTTGTGGTAGTGGGAGGAAAATTTACCGAGGAGGAAATAGAACTTTTTGAGTTAGCTGAGAAGATTTTTGAAAAAAAAATCATTAAAAACACAACCATTGTGAGAAGTAAATTTGACTATTTTGACGACCCTGAAAAATGTGATAAAGATAAAAAAGATTTGAAAAATGAAAAGAAAAAAATTGTTGATATAATTAATCGCTGCAATGGAATCATATATGTGAACAATCCCCCATTTAAAGAAAATGAACCAGGACGACAAGAAGACAGAAAAAAATCAAGAAAGATATTACTGGATCATTTGAAAACTTCTTGTCAAGAAGGTTGCGAACTGGAGCATTGGGATGTGATATGCGTAGGAATTAATGATTACATGAATGCAAAAAAATGGAAAGAAAATGAACGTACACAAAACTTATTAACTGATATATTCATAATTAAAAGAGAAATATATGAACTAAAAGAAAAGATTCTTGAAGAAATAAAAACTCATTCAAATCTAGAACGTGAGGTGAACTGTCTAGCTAGTGTGCAATCTCACATGATCAATGCAAATTTAAAGCTCAAAATCAAAAATTTTTGCGTAATTACTTAATGTTTTTTATTAATTTACTTTTTTATTGTATTTTCCTGTAATTCAGTTTTATTACTTTTAAATTAATTATTCTAAATCTTTGGTTTGAAAATAAACTTATAATTCTTTAATAAATGTTCATTTCACACATTTGATTAAAATTATAATAAACAGTTTTTAAAAATATCCGCAATCGCCAAAGGATATTTTTGTGGATAGCATTTTTGATTCAATTTTGAAATATTCATGCAAAATTCATATTTTAGAAAAGGTTTCTTGCTTAAGTTTTTATGAATTGCTCAATCTAACATAACAACATTGTTTGGCATTTTAACAATTAAAAATGTTTTTAATGTTTTTAGCAATATATTTTTGTCACGTATTTTTGTTACTTTTCTTTAAGGCTGAAACCGATTTAGGATTTGCACCAAGACTATTTTGCATGGTCTTGATATTTCTTCTTGAGCAATTAAA